GTATATTATTTTTTTTGGGGGGGAACAAACTCTCGCTAGTAATACAGGCCACACAATTAAAATGTTCTTAATAACATTAATCCTAACACAACTTCATTTAATATTAATCCTAAAGCAACTTCATTAGTTCCTTACACCGACAAGTGAATAGGAAATATTTGACATTGTGAATAATTTGTTTAAACCTTCAACCTTGAACCTTGAAAAGTTAACAAGCTGTAGAATAATTGTTAAAACCACTTCTTTCGCACTATTAGGGTCATGAAAAAGTAGCATTTGGAAGATTACATGTGACAAATAACGGCTCGCAAAGGTCACCAAAGGTCAGATATGAACTGCCTCCATGTTTGAAAGTTTTAATAAAAAATAATATCTAATTCTTGTATAGCACCAAATCCGTCAAAATTGACGCTCAAGGTGCTTCACAGAAATAAGAATGAACCGGTTAAAATTTTAGTTTTGTTATGGCATAAATAGTTTCACGCTTTAGACGTTTCTTTCTAAAAAAATCATTTTTATATAAATAGGTTTTCGGGACAATTTTGAAAATTGTGAACATGAATTTGTAAAATAAGCAATCGTTTTCGTGCGAAATATAATGAACATTATTTTTTTATATTTAACTAATGACAATCTATTTCCATGAAATGCATTCAGTCGTAAAGAAATCAGCGTACGATTTCCCGAATGTGCACTGAATTTAATAAATTGCCATTTCATTTTAGCGCGAAATCGAATTAGGCACATTCGCAAGTATTGCTAGCCTGTATTCCCTTTTAATTTAACATCAATCTATTCGCTAAATTTGCAGCTGATTTCCCGCTCAGTGTTATTTTACATAGGCCTGTGCCTGGTCATTTTTCGGGATACATCTGTTTCAGCAAACAACAACATTAAATACTCAAAAATACACGTGAACATTTTAGACAAAACATACACAGTTTAATATTTAACCAGCTCCCGCTGGATTACCCAAAAGAAACATTGTTTGTTGACAAAAGAAAATATGAGGAATTTTTAATTGAATGATTGGATGTTTGAATATTCAGGATGATTGAACTAAAACCAAGCGGTGTAGCCTTTTAAAACATACGGTACCAACTATTGTAATAAATCCTATATAAAAACCTATGCTGAAGACAATTGTTCCCTTTTATTTTGTTCAGCATTTGCCACAATCGTATCATATAACCACGCAATCGAACCGATAAAATTAGAAGGGAAAACAGAATGACATTAAAATAAAGTAAAGACAACGAATCAACAATAAAAATCTCCAGATCCCATGTTAAGTGACACGTCAAGTTTCTCTTTACCGTCCCAATAATATGCCTACAAGATTATTTTGATTGATTTTATTTTGGTAAGATTTATATCCGCTTAATTCAAATATGTCTTTGTGTATAAAAACAAACACATTAATGATCAGTTGGGCCCACAATACATTGATTGATTAATTAATTTTATCAAAGCTGTATCGTGATTTGTATAGGCCTTGGCCTGTTTACTTTAATTAAATTGAATGCAGGATTGCGAATTTAAATTAGGCTATGACAAATGAAAAAGAATGTTCAATTCAGCGCGTGCTACAATAACAAAAAAGTCTGCGAATTGGATTGCACATTTGTCATAATCGGCATCTCATCCGTGTAACCGAAAGTCTTATCACGTGTTTGTAATTCTTTAAATTAAACGTTATGCACATTAATTTATTGGAATGATGCAAAATGAAATTGAATTATTGCAAAAATATAACCAGGACATAAGTTTCTCAAAATCAGCGCCAAATTGAATTTAAATGCACATTTTCCAAAATTGTCCGAAAAACAAATATTTTACTAAATGCTATAATACGGCGACAGATTTTGCTGACTCCGTCCACAATAGGGCGACATACCTTATTAAGGCGACAAATAACTGTTGCCCTTTGTGAAAACGTCTCTTAGGACAAGGAATTTTGTCGTCGCAAACTATCTAGATCGATTCCTTGTGGTCTCATTAGTAAACATACCGAATTTCGATAAAATATATAAAAAGGATAAGGTAAACTTGGGTTAGGTGACAGTTTAGGTTTGTGCACAAGTCTATGGGAAAGTCGCCCTATTGTAGAAAAAAGAGTTATTATAAATATGGATTGATTACAAAGTGCACAATTATGTCCCAATGCCACTCCACTAGTAGCGAAACGTCTGTTTGTCCGATGCAAAACGGTTTTCAAACCGTTGATGTTCAATTACGAAATCAGTATTCATCATTTGGTAACTTTGTGAATCCTTTTTGACACTCATTATACTAGTTAAGTTTTAATGGCAAAAGGGAACGAACTAATTATTTTGCGGGAACAAATGAATTATTTCGAATGAACGATATAATATTTCGAAGTAACGAAATGATTTCGAGGGATCGAAATATTTTTCGAGGGAAACAAATATTATTTCGAGGGAACGAAATATATTTCGAGGGAACGAAATAATGTTTCGAGGGAACGAAATTATTTTGAGGTAGCGAAGTAATTTTTCGAGGGAACGAAAGAATATTTCGAAGGAACGAAAGAATATTTCGAGGGACAAAAATTTAAAAAAACGTCATCATGCCTGTCCATTTAGGGGCTCCGTACTTTAGGAGCTCCGTAAGTTTGCGCTTGTAAGTTAACCCTACAAAAGGGCCGGGTTATTTTGACTATATCTCAGCTGGGGGGGGGGGGGATTCCGCCCCCCCCCCTCCGCCCAAAGATCTCGGCCATCGAGTGACAAAAACTTGTAAAACTCGGTTCATGCATAGAGCAACTCATTATAAACATACACAAGAAATGTCATGACTATAGGTCTAAAGGTATTGGAATTATGGCTAATTAATTATTCATTATTAATTATGTACGAATGGTAATTGTGCTCTGTGTACACGACGTATATGGGCCAGTTCGGTTTGCACGCCGCAACCCGTGGTCTGATATTTATGATTTTGGTATCAAAATATGTGCTAAGCTCGAGGCTAAAAAGTGAAGAAAAAAAAAACAGCTCAGGTCGCGAAAAAAAAAATTACGGCTATCGCGGCAAAAAAGATAATCCTAGGTAGTTTGATTATAACCATTTGATCACCATTGATTGTTTTCACGAATAAAAACCGTTGGAAAAAAATCAAAAAATAAGAAGTCTTTAAAAAACAAATATCATTGAAACCCCCGCCCCTTTTTGTTTCCCGTGGAGAAAAAAGTGCGACAAATATAATTCATTCAAATTCCATGCATTATTATTCTTATGGTAATTGTGAATTAGACTGGAATATTGCAGTAAACATTGCTATTTTCGTGATTGTTTGAGTGTTTTTTTAAGAAAAACTCTCAGCTTTAATCTGGCACCGGAAACATTAAAAACCACGGATCTTTTTTTTTCAAAGGGTTGCATTTTTTGGGTCACCCCGTACAGTTCACCGAGAGCT